CCTTCTCTCAGGTAGTTGTAGGGAGCAGTAAGGTCTCCCCTGAGCCTCTTCTTCTCCAGGCTGAACACCCCCAGTTCCCTCAGCTACTCCCTATGGGACTTGTGCTCCAGACTCTTCCCCAGCTCTGCTGCCCTTCTCTGGGCACGCTACAGCCCCTCAGTGTCTGTCTTGTAGTGAGGGGCCCAAAACTGAACCCAGGATTCAAGGGGCAGCCTCACCAGTGCTGAGTACAGGGGGACAATCCCTGCCCTGGTCCTGCTGGACACACTGTTCTGATGCAGGCCAGGATGCTACTGGCCACCTTGGCCACCTGGGCACGCAGCTGGCTCATAGTCAGGCAACTACTAACAGACACCCCTGGGTCCTCTTCTGCCTGACAGCTTTCCAGCCACTCGTCCACAAGCCTGTAGCATTGCAGGGGGGGTGTTGTGACCCAGGTGCAGGACCCAGCACTTGGTCTCGTTGAACCTCATACAGCTGGCCCCGGCTCATCAATCCACCCTGTCCAGACCACTCTGAAGAACCTTCCTTCACTCACCAGATCAACACTCCCACCCAACTTGGTGTCATCTGCAAACCTACTAAGGGTGTGCTCGATCCCCTCGTTCAGGTAATAGATAAATATATTGAACAGAACTGGCCCCAATTCTGAGCTCTGAGGAACACCACTTGTGACCAGCCACCAACTGGATTTAACTCCATTCACCACAATTCTTTGGGCCCAGCCATCCAGCCAGTTTCTACCCAGCAAGAGTAGGCCCATCCAAGCCATGAGCAGCCATTTCTACCAGGAGAATGCTGTGGGAAACGGTGTCAAAAGCTTTACAAAGTCTAGGTAGACAACATCCACAGCCTTTCCCTTGTCCACTAAGCAGGTCACCTTGTCATAGGAGGAGATCAGGTTCGTCAAGCAGAACCTGCCCTTCATAAACCCATGGTGATTGGGCCTGATCACCCTGCCGTCCTGTACGTGCCACGTGATGGCACCCAAGATGATCTGCTCCATTACCTTCCCCAGCACCAAGGTCAGGCTGACATGCCTGTAGTTTCCTGGATCCTCCCCCCAGCCCTTCTGGTAGATGGGGATCACATTTGCTAGCTTCCAGTCAACTGTGCATTAAGAATCTTGATATTCTAATCATAGTATTTTTACACACAGACTACCTTAATTTTCTATTGACAAATGCAAAAATTATACAAGTAGTCGTATTTATCATTTAACTTCAGAAACATACACATTATCATATACCCATATCAGCAAGACCATTTGAAAAATCATATTTTAGAGACTGTGCCTGAATAAAGATCAGTGGTTATCAAACTGTGAAAGGTAAGCGGGGAAAACTGAATAAACTCCACAACTGAACAAATATAAATATTTAATCTGATATTATTGGAAGGTGTTCTACCTAAAAGATCTGCTAAACTGATATAAATGTCTTCCTAAGCACATAATTTGTGTTATGCTTAAGCAATTTTAACAAGCTTTTAAAATATAAGACACGTTAAAAAAATTCAATTAATATAGTGGCAAATACAACCATTATCCATTTCACAAAGCATCAGCTTATACAGGAAAACAACCTAATATATGACAATAAAAATATCATATTTTCTTTTTCACACAAAAAACTTTTCCAGCTTCCAATAATTTCTTCTCAGAGAAGGAAAGAAAATTATGAGCTTTGGAAACCATCTTAATTCAATATTTTAGATCAAGCTTGTCCTTTGCCCTCTTATCTACAGCAAACTTTCAACACCTTTAAAGATGCAGTCTTGAGCATACCGCACAATAAAAATCGAAGAATTTGTATCCAAATCAAACTAATCCCTAGATAGATATACATAAATGCTTTCTTAGCCATTGCTGCTATTTGATTAAAAACTGATGAAAATCTAATGAGAGCTGTTTGCTATTAGGTCAATTAAACAGCAACAGAACTACCTCTGCAGGAGGCTCAAAAATATATAATTACTTTCTCCAGCTCCCCACTTGTCTTACCACCAGCTCTATACAGATCAGGCTCTGAATAAAAATCAGAACTCTCCCAAGACTCTTTATATACAGACACCAATGGGATGTTTTGTTTTCACTCTCAACCCAGTAAAATAGTTACAGATTTTGGTCTCACACAGCCAGTAAGAGCCTAATCCTAATAAAATTATTAAGCAAAAGATGGAGTACTCAAAAAATATGACAAAGAATGTGCCAAGATAGAAGACTAGCATCAGTTTTTTCAACCTAAACCATAACTGAAATATCAAACAATAGTACTGTGTGATACAGGTTTCTACATAAAATTGATACCGCTTTCATGTGGACCCGAAAACTTAAATTAGCTGATGGCAATGGGGAATAAGGAAGTAACTGCTACAACCTCAATAAGAGAGCACATCAGCATCACAGAACAGACCCACACAGAACTACAAAAATATGGTTTAAAAGCTTAATTCAAAAAATACAATCATAGAATAAAAGTAGTTTAGGTAATCAAACAAAGAATTATAAATGCTGTGCAGAAGCCAAACACTTTAGGAAGTGGGAATGTTACTTGTACAAGATATCAGCACTAAAACCAAGTAGTGTTGTTTAAGCAAAGCAAACAAATGTCTTTTCATCTTTTGGAAAACTAGGAATTTAAGGAAAAGAAATGAAATGACATCTAAGATTACGGCAAGAACATAGCAAATAATAGGAGATATTTGATGCAAAAAACAGTTTATGAAGACAGAACATTATCACTTTCAAAGCCTGGTGGCATATTAGGCTCTATAGCTAGTAAAGAGCTGAACCACTAACTCCTATGAAATAAAAAAAGATAAGAATTGGAAAATTTGAACCTAACAGTAAAAAACTAGGGTTGGTGAGCTATTCTGTGCTTCCTCTTAAAACCGAATTTTACATAGCAAGACTATTTAAGTTTCTGAGTATTAAATACAAGTAATGCTTGTAAAAAATTGGCATGCAGATTTGGAATTGGTACTAAAACCAGGACATTAGTAAGAAAGTGATGAGTTAAATTTCATCCAGATGTAAAGACAGCAGTTGCTGACTTAATACAGAACAGTGTTACAGTGAATTACCATGGCTGAATAAATCTCACAGAAGTGTTAGATAAGCACTTTTGTGACTTCAAATTCACAGGAACATAGATAAGTGCTAGAAAAATGAAACTGGAAAATGTTCAATAGCGTTATTTGAAAAAAAAAAAGCGATCTAAAATAGGTAAAGGCTTACAGAATACTTAAGTCTCCAACACTGCTAAAAATCAGAGCTTTAATTTATAACTATACTGCTCAGTGATATCTTAAATTAATTAGGATCTTGGTGATCCTGCATCTATACTTTTTTTTAATTCTTAGAATGAGACTGGTTTTACTTACTAACACAGCTCCAAGGAGGTGAAAGCACTAACATATATGAACAAGGAGAGACGGGTGAATCACAAGGCACAAAGGAACTTACCTGAAGTCATATAATGGAGAAAAAAAAGAAAAGAAGATATGTATATTGACTAATACAGTAGGTTAGTATCTGGAACTTAAAACCACCTTTTCCTTTATTTTCATTATTTAGTTGTGTATGCTAACACTCCCAAACTAGTAGCTTTTCAGACACTCAGGATTTCACACTCTGAAAACTGAGACAAGATGACATAAACTCAGGAACAATTAAAGGGATATTTTAAAATTATTTAATGCATGGTATACTTCAGAAATAGGTTTTTAAGAAGGGCAATGTGTATAAACATGGATATGGTAAAAATTAATTTGTCACAAACGGTGCTTTTTCTATGCAGTATTTCTCCTTTCCATCACTCCATAGGAAAGCATCATGAATTTAATACTGCAGGGCAGTAATGAAAAACTCTAATTTTTTATAAACACAGTGTTTTCCAGAGATTATTTATTACATTATCAGTTCTACTTCTGCAAAACAAAGTTGACTGATGGAATCATGTCATTTTATGACATCAATATGCAGCTACATTCCTGATAAACAGCAGATCAGTAATCAAATTCAAACCACTTTTCTGCTACTCCAAATAAGATATTACACAAAGACAGCTTTGAATATTTTTTTTCTTTAAGACATAAGCCAGTTTTCTTTAACTAGTCATGGTCAAAGCTGAAAACTGCTTGACAGGCCACTAGTTATGAAAAAGCTTCCTGACCATCAAGTTGACAGCAAGTTTTGTAGATTCCATCCCAAGAACTCGCTTGAAAAGCAGTAAATAACAAAGAGTGGTAGAAATTAGCCAAGGTGCTCTTTTCCTTCCCTGCAGGCAAAGAGAGTTTCTCCTTCTGAACTCTGGTGAATGTCAATTTATGAGCAGGAAGGAGGGAGTAAGAGACTCCTTTCAAAGACAGCAGTAGCAGGATGTAACAGTAATTTTGGCAGTGGTCAACTAGTGGTAACTTCTTAGTAAAGCTGATAAAGAATTTAAATGGAAGGAGTAAAGAGATATAGGAAAACACATTTTGTAAAGTTCAGTGTAAAAGTAACAGGCATAATGGAAAACAGTACAATGCACATGAAAATATTTGCCATCTCCTTTTCTAACTAAAATACTCAAGAAAGAGGAAGAGATTAAAAATTTCTAAGGTTTGTGTACATGGAGCCTGAAAGAAAAAAAAAATCCTTGCTTTTCACTTCGTGAAGGAGCACGTTTCTACAAAAAGACACAGTACGCATTTATCTTAGGGCAGCGGAAATTGTGTGGTATGGAACATTTTATAACATATTCACTACAGCTGGAAGCCTGATAGAATTTTGAAAAACATGGCCGCTCATTTCATTGTTCAAATCAAAGATGGTGGCCCTTTCCAAACATCTGAAATTCCAAAACAGACTCTGCTTGCAACTGGAAACTTAAGACTCTGACAGCCTATCATACCGTGCTATGGAACGGCAAATATTTGCAATCGTAGATTCCCTGTAGGAAGTGACTGACTATACAATATTTCCCCTAAAAATAAAATTCAAAGAATCAACTCACCACTTGTCCATTCTGAGGATTTTTATGTGCATATGGGGGTCCACGGATGTGATTCCACATCTGACCAGACGTCATAGCAAACACAACACACTAGAAAAAATAGAAAAACAACGTACTCAGTTATTTACCCAGAGGAATTGAAAAGAAAACCATTCTACTGGTGGTGTTCGGTTTGGATACATAATTGTTTACCTAACCAGATACAATATCTACCTCTATTTGCTTTTTAGGATAGGGTTTTCAGATGTGTTGCTCTCATAAAATTCTTAATGACTTCTGTTAGAAAATTAGTTAACTCAAGACAGAGATTTTCAAAATCTCTCTTGAAATAATCCTGTCTTTATGTGCACTTGGAATTGACACATTTATACAACTATATGGTAAAAAGCACTCGCAGCAGTAGAAGGCATTCTTTGCAAATATTCTGCAAACTAGTGTTCAAGATCTATACAACCTTTCATGAAATTACTTCTGTCTCTAATCTACCTATTTGCTTTCAGCTATATGAAATTCTATTTAAAACCACATGGAAAAAAAAAAGCAATTATAAAAACAATGTCTGTCCCATTTCATGAAACTCTCACTGTGTCCCCCATAACAAAGGTTGAGTTGGTAGAAAACTGACACTTCCTATGGAAAGATGTGTGAAGTTAGGTTAGGGATATATGACAACTGTAAAAATGAACATTAAGTTTTGCAGATCAATCACATTGCAGAATCTACATGAGAAACATCAGAGTCATCGCAAGAGTCATTATGACTACTCTGAAAAGAAAATATGGTATTTTTACTATATTTTTATACCAAATTAGAAATTTGATTACCAATTAGGTTACCAAATTGAAAAAACAGAAATAGGAAACTTGGAATACCTAAATGTCTGACTTACCAGTAGAGGTAATCCTTACAAAACCTCCAACATAATTTAAGGACTGGTTTTACATATATGATCATTTTACTGTCCATCAATATTCCCACCAACATAGTATAGTCATAGTGATTTAAGCAGATGGATCATGAATGCAAAAATTCATACCACGATGGTTAATGAAACCACAGTTTCCTGAAACCCTTCTTTAAAGGGGTTATTAATTAAACTAAATAAGTTTAAGCTGGTGTATCTCTGTATCCCCATAAATGTAGCATCGCCATCTCTAGCAATATGATATTAACAAACTTTGCAAGGCCTTAGGACTGAGTCTTGTGAGGTTTTATCCAAATTTGGTTTGGCTTTCCTGGATTAGTTTTTAAAAATTGTTTAGCTGAAACAGCTAAACCACCATATTGTTGTGCCTAGTTCACATTATTTCTGCATATCTTTGTATAGCATAATTATTATTTTTTCTACATTATTTAGGATGAAATAATTATGACCAGAGTTCTGATGTGGTGGGATGACATGGGATGACACCAGAGAGACAACAAAAGTCAAAACACAGGATGCAGTGTATCAGCATGGAATAAGAAACGTGACAGAGGATTACACCAGAGACCCCAAGCCTGTAAGTGTTGTGTCAATGGAGTCTTAAAGAAACACAGACATGGGAGGTGGTCAAAATCAGTTTTATGGGCAAAGAGAACAAAGGACAAGAATCCAATGTATGTAAGACAATCACCATTTACCCACTCAATTTTTATATAAAATGTAGTTTCAGATGAGTGAAGGAAGCACAAAGTGTAAAAGTATCCCCAAATGGTCCCTAGAGCAAGAAGGAAGAAGGCAGCAGCATCATACTCCTCCCAGCGAAGAACCTAGAATGCTGACCATTCACCACAGCACACCCTTGCCCCAAAAGAAAGCCAATGAATGATCTCAAGATCTGGAGAGAAATGGAAGAGTAACCATGACATCAGAGCAAGATGCTAGGACGTGTGTGCATAACCATTTAAATTTTGTTAATATTGAGATATTTTTCCTTTGCAATAGAATGAAAAAAAAAATCGTATCTGGTTTAATAATAATTCTGTGTTGTACTGTTATGATTTCAATTACACTAAGAACAGATACTTGGTTTTAAATATAAGGTGTGCTTCACTTCTCCCTTAACATGATTTGGAATGTAACAGTATATTAATTCATATGGCAGATGAAAGCATACTGGTAGTGATTATTAGCAAATGGATTATATTTTAATTAATAATTTGCAAAGAAATAAAGAGTGTATGCTTTCATTACTGGAAAAGGGTAACATAGTTATTTCTAAACCTTGCAGATTGTTTTAGCAGAGAAATTTATACTACAATTCTGGTGATGAATCACAAAGGAGATAGCTTATATGAAAGTACAAAAGCGCAGAAACTGAAAAAGTGGGTAACAAAAGTGAGGTGAAAGATATTTTGAAAGGTCAAAAGCTAGCTGAAAAGTAAAACATCAAAAGAGAACAAGCATAAAGTACACAAACTGTGGCTCTCTAAAAGTGACTTTTCTATCAGAAGTAATTTTACTCATTCTTAAATTACTGGATTTAATGTACATTCTCTAGAGCCAAATCTGCTTCATATGGAAAGACTAAAATACCCCACCCCAGTTTATATCCAGACATATACTATATAACAGATAAATCTCTCAAATTACTGAAGATCTTTAATGCTTGCCAATACAAATACACTGTTTCACAACATGGTAATGTCTAACTGAAAATATCTAGGAGACACAATAGTGGGGAGAAACAAATACGAAATATCAATATTACTAAAAAAGAAAAGAATTAACAATATGGTTGTTTATCGTAAAGGTATCTTTCATAAACTTCCAGTTCAGACCATTAGTGACCAAGAAAACTAATTTAGTACACCACATCCTGTATTTGCCATCATTTCTTTCCATCATGCAACTCTGTGTATTTCAAAATTATCTTTTCAGGAACCAAAAAAACATTTTCCAGCACCTCCCTTGTCCTCTTCTACTGTTCATCTGTTTTAAGTGTCCTAAGTAGAGAGGATTTCCATCACATGCCTTAAGCAAGCATTCAGTATGCTACAGATAGCACTTGACATTCAAGTTCATTTTGCTGTACACTATATTCTCCTATTATGATCATCCAAGTAAAAAAAAAAACCAAAAACCCACAAAACCCCCCCCAAAAAACTCCCAAATAACTAAACACTTGTAAACAGACTTCAACTGTTTGTAAAATATACACCATTATTTGTAGAACAGATGTATGCATCTATGATACATGATAGATTGCACTGATACACAATGCTAACCATTCCAAACCCCATTGTTTCCACAGGATCCCATGCTTTGGGATCCAAAATTCCCAAAACACCTAGTTCACTCACTGTGAGTTACTGTGTTGGTGTTTCCCGGGATAAAACTTCAAATCCATTCTTATGGCTGAGCAACTTGTAACATGATTAATGACTTCATATTTACCTTACGGATTTATGTTACACTTATTTCAATGGAACAGTTCGTATGCAGAGAAATTGCCCCTTTCTGCATTCCTTTTTTAGATCTTATCAAAGTGCAAAGGATGAAAACACTGAGTAACAGGAGAATATTCATGATGAGGTACTTCTCAACTCCACTCATCCAGAGCAAAGTCTGTATGTCAGCAGTTCTACACAGAAGAGTACCACAGACAACCCTTTCATCCACCTGCTCCCTTCTTTCTCCTTGTCACACTCCAAGAACAACACTTCAACTGCTGCAGGTCACCTGAATCATCAGGGAAGTTCAATGTTTATCTATTTTAAGAGTTTCCAGATTCAGGTAGATTATTCTGCATCCAAACGATAAAAGCAGAGTAGATGTACATTATTGGCTGGTGTAGTATAGAGAGGGAAGGAAAAATCATAGAATCACAGAACGGTTTGGGTGGGAAGGCACCTTAAAGATCATCTAGTTCCAACCTCCCTGCCATGGGCAGGGACACCCTCCACTAGACCAGGTTGCTCAAAGCCTCATCCAGCCTGGCCTTGAACACTTCCAGGGATGGGGCATCCACAGCTTCTCTGGGCAACCTGTGCCAGTGCCTCACCACCCTCTCCAGGAAGAACTTCTTCCTAATATCCAATCTAAATCTCCCCACTTTCAACTTAAACTCGTTACCCCTTGTCCTGTCACTGCAGGCCCTTGCAGAAAGACCTCCCCCCCAGCTTTCTTGTAGGCTCCTTCAGGTACTGGAGGGCTGCAATGATTTGCTATAGCGCATTATGGTTCCAGGACCAAATGTCCACAGGATGCTTTTAGAGGCAATGAAGTTCACCCCTATTACAAATCCTGGGAGAGTACACTGTCTATGTAGACAGGACAGCTCAAGGACCTCATTAACAAATTGCAAGCGGTGTTTTCCTGATGGCTTCACAGTGCGTGACTTCAGCCTTCTTTTCACTAAGAAAGAAACTGCCTTGAGCTCACCCGTGGTGCACCTGTGTGTGTATCACAAGGCTCCTAAAAACAGGCATAAGGTAAATAAGCACCAAAGTCCCACCAGAACACTGAATTGTTAGTAAGACACAACTTTACAGGTACATGAGCAAAATTTCTCGACTGTTCTGGGTGTTGCAAGCTTTTTCAAATGATTTGGGTTTAATATACCACTTTCTCACAGGCGTTTTGTTTAACACTATCTCCCAGTTTATTAAACAAAATTACTAAAGACTTAAAAAGCCATTTGGTATGCATTCTGAAGTGAAGCTTCCTACCAGAAGATATTATACAAAGCAGATTATTAAATTTCTCTCTGTAAGTTTAGATCTCAGCACACAGCAAATACTATGTAACATAAAAAAAATAAGGAAATTTTAGGTTCATTTATGAATATAGTTCAATTCAAGCATCGTTTCAAAAAAAGGGGAGACAGATGCAGCCAGTTCCATATTAATTTCTATACTGTTCTGTATGCGTAAGTTTTAGCCATATCACAATTACTCTTTTAAAGAAATGTAATCCTTTCTTTTGTACTCAACGAAGGCTAGAGATTCAAGACCTGTAGTCAGTTTCTAAACAACAATCCATCACTTACTAGAATCTCCAATAAAAGATAAACAATTACAATTCAAGGACAGGGAGTACAACAGAAGCAAGAGAATGGGCTTCTGTATCTTTAAAAGGTCCTGTGCATCTCTAAACCCTCTAACCATGGGAAGAAAAGGAAATTAATAACCTGCATTTATTGCTGTTCTTTTGAGATGCCTATCTACTCACAGAGAGGAGCCTACCTTTTTCTAGTTCTATCTTCCAATAAAACACATTACTTTTTTATCCTCATTCCCTGAAGGAGGTAAAGAAGCCACTAGTAGCCATGATACACTTTGAGCTCTTTTGGAGCAATAACTGATGATGAATGTACTGTATGGTATAGGTGCTGTGGAGTGCATCAGCACAGAACACATTTCTCATAACCATTAACTGTTACGACAACGGTAAACACAGGCTTTGCCTCATCATTCAAGTGACTTCAAATATTTTGCCCAACAGAGTAAACTCTTAGACAGCTGCCTCCTAATCTGAGCAGACTTTGCCTTCCCAGATTCCATAGGTATACAGGCAAATCTGAAATACGCACAGAAAATCAAACTGAAAGTTACATACAGAAAAACTCACTGGCAGCCTGGTAAAGAAAATACCTTTAAAAGCCCTCTAGTAGCCCACATTCTATCCCACTGAACAAATAAACTCTCAGTATCAGTGCTGTTGTCTAAAATGTAGTCATTCCTTACCTAAATGTTAGAAATTTGCCCAGTTTATACCATTTGACCTTTAATTCTAGCTGCTTAAGAAATGAAGAGCCTTGACGAGAATCTGAATCACTGCGTGTTATCTGTAGAAAAGGACAGAACTCTGCAAATATCCAAGGACTGATGATCTTCCTCAGCTCTGTGTTAGCATGTCAGAGGGAAAAATATCCATAGATGAAGAGTAGAATTTGAATTAAAGTCTAACATAATGTAGGGGATAAATTTCGGATCTGATCTCAAAAGACATCTTTTGGGATATTATACTCAGTGACTCAGTCATCCTCGTTTGCCATTCTAAATTCTTCTGGGTAATGTTGCAAGTAAAAATGCCTAAGGCATACAAGTTACTACCAGAGTCTGCAGTGCTTCAACAAGGGGATGAAACTGCTCATAGCATTACTCATGTGCAATCTACTGCCCAGGACAAAACCAGTTCAACAGTCTTGTGTGAACTGGCATTGGAATCAATGTGTAAGGTGAAAGGTCTGGTGTTGCTTCTGCAAGGCTATCAAAACAATTAGATGGAGCACTAAAAAAGTGTATTTCTAAATATTTTCCTAAAACAGTGCTGGAAATACTACCTATGAGACATAACATATTGGTATCAATGGAGATATCAAATAAAAATTCAGTCAACAATCCTGGGATCCTCTGTTCTCCTGCTAGTAAAAAGAACACAGGCACATTATGTTGAGATTTTTTTTATTTTTTAGGAACAGATGAATCAGGTAGAGAGCCACTGTCCATTTTTCATCTAAATAAGAAGTATCCAACATTTGGGAGCATAAATGCTCTTCAAAAATAAACTATGACACTCTGAAAAACGTAGGAAAAGAAAACAAGAGACTTGTCTGTTTGCAATGACACTGTTTTCAGTTACTGAATTCCAAGATATCTATGAAAGAGTTTCAGTTGAAATTAAAAATTGTATTTTCCCTATGGTTAATAAATGGTGGCTATCTAGCAGTACACGGCCTCCCCAGAAACAATCAAACCACAAAATTACAGCTTTTAGAAAAAAAGTTCCTGTGCTTTCTAAGTTCTGAACAAAATAAGAGACAAGATTGCCAATACTCTCGTGAAAAAACGGGGCTTCCTGTAGCTTTTATGCATCTTCCTAGGCTTTCCTTGTTTAATTTTTTTTTTTAATTCAAAAAGGAAAAGATATTCCTGAAAAATATAATTCTTTAAAATTAAGTAGTTATCAGTTATTTACACTCTTCATAAGAGCATTTTATTAGGCGTAAATCACTCCCCTTAACAAGATACCACCTTCTCTATTTTTCCTTTTAATGAGTTTTTATGAAAAAAGAAGTTCTAAGTTTTATTGGTAGAAAAAAGCATCACGTAAGAGAATCATAACTGTGCAATACCTTACAATGAATCCATTAACGAGTATCCATTCTCTTCTATGGATCTAGTCATTTTATAACACTGAGGTCATCTGTGAAAAAGCCTGCAATCTGGAGTTCCTGCTGCCTCCACCAAAAAGAACTCATAACATTAAGTTGTATGTCCATGTAGAGCTGAATAAAACCAAAAGGACTTCTGGTAACTGCATGAAATCTTTGCTAAAACATCATTTTGCAGTATAGGGCTCTGACAACATTGTGAAGGCAAAAGAACAATAATGATCAGGAAAGGAAGCATCGACTCAACACCATGATTAATTGCTATATACTTCCAGATAAAAGACTTTTTTCTAAAACATCCTCTAGGTGCTATTCACTTCTAAACACAATTTTAGAGGAAATAGTATTAGCAACACCAATAAATGGTATTAATGCCATTTTAATTCCTTTTAACTCTACTATTGCTCTTCAATATAATCAGCAGGATGACAATTACTGAATAGCATTAACACAATTTCTTTAAATGTCTGATCACATCTGGACATTGAATCTGTCCACAGGGGTTCAGCTGAACCTGATTATAAGTTTTCTGCGTTACCTTCAGATATATAATGTCCAGCTTCTGCTAAGAAAAAAAGCAAATATTTTAAGAAAGAATTGATGTGTCAATTTTCTTAATTTAATTAGTAAGCTAATTATGTCTTTAACTATTTATTGAATGCAGATTGTAATAGAATGATTCTTGATTTGAAGAACTGATTTTTAACCTCTGCAAGACAAAAAACACGGTTCCCCAAAACATTCAAATATTTACCTTCTGATCTGAAGCCCCGAGGTATGAAACTGGAATAAAATTACTGTCTCCAGAGATACAGTACATGGTTAAACTAAAGCAAATGCCACCGATTTCTTAATTTGATTTTTTGACAAAAACATTTATTTTGGTGTGCTAATTCTTGTTTTACTCAAGTGATCTGTAAAGGTTAGGAGTCAAAAAAAATGTTAGATTGATACATAACAGATTTGAGCTTTCTGGTGGTAGTGTATTTATAAGAAGTATCACCATTGAAAAATACTGATAACCCAGAAAAATATATGGAACTAAATATGACAGACTTACTTTGGAAAAGAACTGTCAAAACTCTGTGCAAGAGCTCAGGATATTCCAAATGATATCATGGAACAAAGAAGACATGCTGCCCCTGGCTCTCTAAATCAAAAGGAAACATCATTCTACCTGAAATCTAGTCCTGTAAGTGGTTTATTTGAAATCCTGTTCTTTATTCCTTTCTCAACGTTTGGGGTAAATTAACATACTGCTTGAACAAAGCATGTATGCCATGTACACTAGTAGGAAATGCTATGACAGCACACGAGAGAACACGGTATTATCAGTAGCCATTATTCAAGAGTAATGCCAATTCCAAATATTGAGGAACTCTGAACAAAGAGCTTGATTTAAGTTCTTGTTAATAATTTAGACATAAAAATTAATTAAAGCCCAACAGTTAGTAGGTAACTTCATCTTTGAACTGATGTACTAAAGGTTGCCAATGGGCTCATCAGCTTAAAATGTCACATAAGACGGTATTCTCCCATATTGCTGAACTGGAGCAGAACAGCAAACCATGAGTATGACATGGCTTTGAAAAGGCAAAAACAATTGTAAGATTTATCAGTAACCTACTTCTATCAGAGCTAAAATACACAGAATCATAGAATAGCCCAGGCTGGAAAGGACCTCAGAAGACCTTCTGGTCCAAGCTTTCATGGGAAAGGGAGTCTAGATGAGAAATAAAATATGAATGCTGCTGCACAAGTAATATTCCAGCTACAAACCTAGCCATGTGCTTTCAAGAAAGATAATTCATATTGACACAAGCTGAGAAAAAGTCTTTGAAATGATGATGTGAATAAATAACTATTTACATGGAGAAACAAGAAAAGCTTGACTTTGGTTGTACGAAACACATGGACAATTTTTAAAAACTTCTGTTCTCAAGCTGTAGAACGTTGGATAGGACTTGATAACCCTACACTATTCTAGTGTTGATAACCATACTCCTGACTCCATGCCCCTGAAAATTAAGCCTTAAATGCTGCTCCTCAGATTTTTCCTCTTCTGTCAGTTGCAAGGATTGCAGAGTAATGAGTACTTATACTTATTGATATATCTTAACTGTCATCTACCATCCTTGCATGCTATTTCCTATCTAAAACTTAGACAGCTGACTATGCAGCACAGACCACACTTTTCATCTGTCTACTCAGTTAGTTGAAAACTATGATATAAATAAACACACTGCAATAAACTATCAAGAATGTTAAACTTTAATTCATTACTTATGTCCTTAAGTGTTTAGTTGACTAATATTTCAGACTATTGTCCAGTTTTAGAAATTCCTCTGAGTTAACACTATAAGATCATCCTATTCTGATTTAGGTTAAGAGTAGAATGTTAAGGTCAGTACCACTGATACCAGTTTTGGAAAGAATTCCAGCTTTTTCTTTGTCTCTCAGTTATTGTATCACTTTATTAGAAACATATAAAAGCCTTTGTTACTTTTCTTAACCTTTTTTTACTATAAAGCGATGCAGTCTGACGTTAATATCTACATTAAACCAATTGTTACATTACTGCTTTTACAAAAAAGGGCAAGGTGAATGGTAGCAGTGAACATTAGTAACACTTTTTGTTAGAAATATTTTCTTGGTAAAATTCAAACACAAATCTGCAGCTATCAGAGAATTTGCTAAATTTTCAGTGAATCATTTGTGGTAACTGATACTCACTATTATGAAGAAAACCCCCAAAATCTAGATTACAACTCTTTGTCTGATAGTACCATTCTGAACAATGTAGTAATGCAATAGCTTTTAATTTACTGCGCAAGTAATGAAGATACATATGCTAAGATAAGAAACTAATAAAAAGCATATTAGTAAGGAAAATCTGCATACCAGAGCTGCCATGGCCCAGCCAGTTTTGTTGTAGATGAACTCTAAGTTATTTCTTCGCAGATATAACAAGCCACCAACAAGAGATACCAGAAGAGCCAGTGCAATTGTACCAGAATAGTTGGGAGGCCTGAATACTCTAATCTGGAAAAGATAATAACAGATACAGATCCCAAGTAAATGCATACATATAGATCATCTTCCACATAAACAAACAGGGAGCATCTGAAATCTGTTTCAGAGTCAGAAAGACTAATCCCTAAAGGTATACTTAAATAAGAAGAAAAAAAAAAAGTGTTTCCTTTAAGAAGCACATAATAGGAAAAAAAGTTTTAAATCTCCAATTTGAACGGTTCAACTCCAAGCCAGTATTTCTTCAACAGATTTGCAGGTTTTGTCTGAATTAGAAGCAGCTACCTTTGGGTCTATCTGTTTTGTACTGGTTTGAAAAGCATGTTTTACTTATTAAAAACTAATTATCACAATATCACAGCTCGTTTTCATCCAGAATAACACTACATAAAAATTTAACAAAGCAAGAATGGAATATAAACTGTGAGCTGAAGAATTTACCACAAGTATGATGACCTCTTTTTTTTTTTTTTTTTTTTGTGGTGCCTTCTAGAACCTACGCTTGAGGAAAAAAGGCATTAAGGAAAGACGGAACTTGTCATCAGCCTGTCTCAAACTACAAAGATACATTTGGCTTCAACTTTTAAAACTGTCGAAAGACTTACATGAACATCTGTTCTGTCAGCTATCCATTTAGCTAGCTGCTCAGCTGCAAATCCGATTCTCTGCAGGTCAAATGTGTCAGCTCTCTTGGGTTTACCTTTTGGAGGAAAATGCATGAAAGTCGGAGCAGAGTTCATATTCAGCTGCAAAACCAGGAAAAATGTGGAAAAAAAATTAGTAACTCTATCCTCAAAAATGTTTATCTTCTATGTATAAGACAACACAAGTCTAATTAGCATGAGAAATATTATTTGCAACCATACATTATTCTTTTTTATACATCTTCACATACAGTCCTACAAAAAGAGTGTCAGAATATTCCTTCCAGTAGATTCTTTTGGATCTTTAATTACTTAGAGTATTTCACTCACAAGATTTCCTGAGTGAGTGTATCTTGTTTTAAAGTTCTCACACATTGTAAGAACTTTCTTGTAATTAGTAAAACAGACTCTACACCCATCCAACCTACTAGAAGTATATTAAGCTATAATTCTAGGAGAGGAAATAAGTGTTCAAATAACTTGACATTGCTTCTCTTGCCTAGGTCTCATCAACCCAAAGTTACCTCCACTATACTATTCATCTAGACTTTCACTGGCTTCAACACAGATTACCCACTAGACACTACTCTTTTTGAAACTAGAAAGGCTTAATTAACTAGCTGAGACTACATAACTTGCCCTAGAAATTACCTGACTGTTAATACATGTGTTGATGTCACTGAAACTACTTACAGTATATCAAAAAATTCAAAAGTGGTAAACAAATAGATTTACATTTGCCACATAAAATTTTTACTTTAACTTTGCAAGGTGATATAGGAGATTATAATTTTACTATATAAAATCCTCCATATTCAGTCCATCTCAGAAATAGTGCAACAAAACAACTGGAAGATTAAAATGAAAAAAATCAGAGGAAATTATGAACTATGGAAAACGTTAAATAAGAAAGGGAGAGTAAACTTGTTTCATTCCTCCAAAATGAGTTTCGCAGGATCACATTACCAAAACACAATATTTGATCAAGTACAGAACTGAATTTGTCAGTAGAAATTATCAGCTATGAAAATATTTTCCATCTAAGTAAAAAATAGCCCTCTTCTTCAGTGAACTTATTTGGAAGCAAAAGATATTCCGAGAAGGACTAAGACAATTGTTGTGAAATAGCTTAATAAAACATTTTATAAGATATGGAAATATTCTGAGATACAGAAACCTTATGACATTCTATAGAGTTTGGGGGCAGTAGGTCTGCAACTGCTTTGTCATTTCTCTATAAACAGAGTCAAAGCTGAAAAATCAGTCACATGACTTTTCTGGTGCTTTTGCTATGGCATTATTATTTCATTACTTGTTTGCACAATAAACATAAGGTCAGAAATACATTTCCCCCAAATCCACCTTAAAAGTTATTAGTATCCCTCATTCTTAAAACTGCATTTTTCACAGACAGTCAAAAAAGTACGTATTTTATGTAATTTGATCTTCTACATGACTTGAAATGCATACCACCCGAAGTAAACTGAATCTGTGCCCTTTTACACGAGGAGTAAATTGGACCAGACTATTCTAATGTGTATTGATTGGATTAAGACTAGATCAAACAATGCATTTTGTGGTATTGTAAACATGTTATTTGAACTAAAATCTTTAAAGCAAAATCTTAAGCCATTAATAACCATTCCTTACAGAATACTTTCTAAGATGTCAATTGGAAGCCAAAATATTTACAAAACACAGTATTAAAATTTTTAAATTAAGTATTTTAAAAATAAATATTAAACTTTTCCCCTGAAAATTTTTAATCATGCAATTCACCAAAACCTGGTTAAAAGTATAGAGAACTTCAAAACTTGTCACTCCTCTTAAGCAGCACTGTTAGCTTCAAGAAAAGGATAAATATCAGAGCAAAGCATGTCAGTATTTAGTATTAATTTTCAAGGGATGCGTTTTGTCTTGACTACTCAGTTTAAGGGGGGGGGCCTTAGACTGTTCTCCAACAGTTGATTTTTTACTCTTCATAGCCAATATTTAAAATCTAAACCAGTCTCTTTTCTTTTCCTTGAAGAACTTCCAGACTAATACAAACATTACTGGAGTTGTACAGGAGAATATTGTATTACATAAAAGCCATTAAAAGGCTTTTTTAGTTAAGAGATTTTTTCCCCTAAAGATAAAATAAAGGTAATCTTTAAATGCAAATGTTAGTTGCACTGCACTTAATTCTAAAAAATTATATAATCTGTCTTTGCTAATGCCAGAGGAACTGCAGTCCCTGGTGTTTTTAACCAGGAAGAATTTATATACAAAACACAGAGATATACACCTACACGCAGAAAATCTGTCTTGTACCATTCAACAAATCAACATGTAGTTCTAAAAATTAAGTATGTTTTACAGTATCCAACATTTACCTGTTGAAAAACATCTGCCCCTTCATCATAATCCACTATTGTGAAAAACAGTTTGTTTGAAAATGCAGATGAATAGCGCCATGAATTAGCCAGCACTTGATATTCTTCATTAGCTTGCCTGTTAAAGAAAAGAAACAAATGTACATCCATGTGGCATTCGCTGGCAAAAAAGATTCTATAACCAGCTGCAGTAGTTACATGAATTAGTATCACCCAACACCCATACTATCAATTAAAAAAAGTTTCAGCGAGTTACTCAGCTTGCTTCAAAATTGCCTTCTCCTAAATGAGAAGTGTGTTAAGTCAAACTATACCAGAGACATCCCAGGGTGATGTTTACAAAAAGTAATGTTTTCCATATTTAAGACTCAGAAAACAGGAATGGCCTGAGTGGCAAGAGTCACACAAATCTAACACATCCGTGCAAGGAGATGCCTACGTGGCCCTTGAGTATGATATCAGGATTTACTTGTGGAGACAGCTGCACATAAGGAATTCTGAAACTAGTGGAACACTGAAATGTGACAGCAATAATCTTCCTAAAATAGCAGAGCCATCAAAAGAACCATAGAAACTGTGAAGTACTGGGGAAATGATACTAACTAAACAAACAGTAGGATTGCCTGTAGCCTAATGCACTCCAGATTATTTCTATAAAACTTGTTTTAAAAGTAATAAAAGAAAACTTTGCACAACATACAGGGTTAAATAATCTTTTCTACAGTGACTGGAAAGTCATGATTTTTCAGAAAAGCCTCATCTTTCAGCTCTACATACTGGTGAGGTAGTGTTGGTTGGTTGGGTTTGGTTTGTTCATTAATTTTGAAATAAAAATAAAAACAAAACAAAACAAAACAACAACCAAAAAACCCAACAAACCAAACAACTTTGAACTGTCTGAAGTATGAGGAAAGGAAAAAGTAATTCCAGGAAAATAATTCCAGGATCCTTACCAGCAGAGGCGTTCTCTAAAAACAGTCACAGAACCATAAAACCACAGGTTCTTCCACAGGACAAATCCATATCAATGAATAATTCAGAAAAACAACAACAACAAAACAAAACCCCCAAACAAACAAAGATCCTTGCAGTACTTTTGGCTTTACACAGGCTCCTTTGCTACTTATTTCCACGTATCTGCTGTAGAGCCCAAACCAAGGTACTACCACTTGGCAACTTATCTCTGCATGTGGTAAGATGCGGAAATTGTATAAATAAATGTATTCTGCAGCATTTCTTAAAACAGGGTTTCTATAAAACCAGTTCCATGTGCCTGATGGTGCAAAACACTGTTTACTTAAAAGCTGCAGATGCAAAAATCTGTTCGTTTCAAGAAACTCTGCACTGAACACACAAAGTATGTATTCTATTTTGAGAGAGCAAAGAGGTGGAAGAGGATGACAGGAACACAGATGTTGTAAGACCCTCCCCATTTCCTCATAACTGAGCTCAGCCTTAGGCATGAAATACATTACATACAACTCCAGCAGAGTTATATTGTACCAAGGAGTATACCATACACAAAAAAATCTAGCATAAAAAAAAGTTAAAATTAAATTTTATGATCACTTATCTCCCCAAAGAATAAATCTTATGAAGCACAAAACCCCTCAAATTTTACCCTTATTATCTGATTGTGTAAAATTTTCTATTTAATCCACTTACTCAATGGTCAAAATTTGTAATTATTTAAAAAAAAAAAAAGTGATTTAGGCATTAGATTGGTTATTTCTAGAAACGGATACTAACATTAAGCAGACAAACATATTCACTGTCAACCTGAAGAGGGCAGTCAGACAACATCAAAGGAATGCTGTAAAATCTTAATATCTGTAGGGCACTGTTCTGTTAAAACTTATATTAAAGCTGGGCCATTTTTATTATAAGAACAAGATAAAGATCACTTCATCTTGATGCCATCATTCTTCTTAGTCTACCTCTCACTTGTGATGAAACAGTATTTCTGGGAAACTCAGTTGCTGCGATTATGCCCCCCGCTATTTGAGAGAAGACTTTTGTTCCCGTTGATCTCCACGTATTTTGCATTTTTGAACTATTTTGAATTAATATAACAGGTAGAAAGTACACTTCAGAAAGTACATTTTGCAAAGGGTTGTCTCAGACTTTCTATCTATTTTTCATCCTCACACTGAAGATAGCAAAGCATTCTGTAATACATCCTCAGAGCAGCTTGAGGGGTAGGGAGAAACGAGAGTGAAACAGGGAGCGCGAGGAACGTAGAGGTACAGGATTACTACATACAGAACTGAAGAATGTCCTACAGTCCACTACATAATTTCCAACAAATACAATGCTGATACAATCACATTAATAAATTTTTGTAGCATTGGATACTCCTTTTCAGATACAATAATAGTAAAAAGCATAAGCACTTGGCTAAAAAAAAAAATTCAGCCTCCAATTAACATGAGGCAATATCATCTCTGTCATTTCTTATCTACTTACCTCTATCATTAGTCAATTCTATCAGTTTGTTTCTATAAAGCAATGTTAATTATATGACATTATAATAAAAATTATATAAAGGCATAAGGCAGAACTACACCTGGTATGAACTCATCAGAATAATAACATGTTAGCACTGCTCTTGTTAGTTTGACAGGATTTTTTGATAGATGAAAAAGATTTAAATGTTATTGCTGCTACACAGTCATCTCAAGAAATTTAGCATAGCAGGAACTAGCAACCACAACAGTGAATTTAACCAGCTACTAGAAAATAGTGGCCAGATCAAAAGGGAATGCTATTATTAGATTCACCTAGAAAATTCAATATACTGAAAAGTAAGCTGTGAAGCAAAGCTCCACAAAATCTTCCTCTATTACACAAGAGGTGCTCATGAAATATTAAAAGTTTTATTTAAAAAGATTAATTATGTGGGTGTCTATGGCAGATAATCAGATTTGTATAGCTTGAGCGATATTAAATCAGATTAATTTTATGCTATTAGTCCAACATTACAGTAAGGAAAACACAAATGGAATATTAGGAAAAGAATAAAAGGCATGGAATTATCTGCCAAAGAAAGCAATAAAGCGTTATTTTTTGGCACACTATGGACTGTACAAAACACAAAATATATAGTTGGCAAAGAATGCACTACCAGGTCAGTTACCCATTCTTGCCCATCTGCTTAAAGTAAACTCTGATCAATGCTACAATTTACCTTCAAAAGAACTTTTTATTTAATTTGGAACTTCTTTCCCAAAATGAAGGGGAAAGGGAAGAGGCTAAGTGCACCTTTTTTGATTTCTTCTCACTACCAAGAATATAATACATTCAGAATGTTTACTTGATTTTAATTTTGTTTAGGGTGACTCATAATGTCATGACGAAAAGCACTGAAGCATCTACAAATGTTTCCAGAAAAGTCAGCACACACGACAAAATGAAGAGTATGGACACATTGAACACAACTCTCTTCATGCAATCTAGATATCTGTAATAGCAGAAAGTAAGCAAAAATCCATGCTATTCTATTTACAGCATCCCATGAAATTTCCAATATTCTGCAGATGAAAAGAAACTATGAGATCATATTTTTTAGAAGTTGTAAAGTAAAAAAAAAAAAAAAAATTGTGACCCCAGGAAAAATAAGGAGTCTCTTACGATCCAAGCATAAATTTACTGCCTTGTTAAACAGGACTCATCAATACTTCTTTCAAGATCCTGAAGTGCACTGGAAAAGCAACAGCAGAACTTTCAACAGCTCCTTCCACATTTCCTGTTCCTTCTTTGAACAAAAGTTCAAAAGATAATTCCCTCTCAGTACAGTTAAGAGACCTGTCAATGATTTTCTCACTACCCACTCTTGATCAACCAGCAAAAAACTGAAAGGCAGAGGATCCCGTTTCTTCTTTCTGATGACACCTCGACTGTCAGAATTCTTCCTGCTGTTGACCTACTCTTTGATCGGCTACTTGAAAACAGTTTTCTGAGATACCTTCTTGAACATGGAAACCAACTGAATTCCTCCCTTTTTTAGATTAGAAGCTTCCACTTGGAGGTCTCATTGATAGGGCAGATGTTAATGAAATTATGTGGAATTGCTTCTCATATATATTTTCTCATTCCCTTCCGCACATTGGGGGAGTCAACGGCAGAAGACAGCTACATTCAGACTCTTTATGAAACACACACTACATAGCTCAAAACTTAAAAATACACAAACTATATGTTGAATTATAACTTACCTTTTACATAATCCTGTGAGAAATACAGAAGGAATAGCTTAAGCAGTTAACTTTGAGCTCATTCTGCAGCAGGCTTTCTGCATTAACTACAACCTTTTTCCATTAATACCTTCTACCAGAATTCAGCCTTGTGACTCAAATGAAACAAAAAAAGTCAAAACCAAGTTGATTTTGCAGGTGTAGCACATCCTACATATGTATTTTATGTATATACTTTATATGTACATTTATACACACATGTATTTATAGACACACAACTTCAGCTAATGGGAGTCATCAGTGCTCCTTTCAACACAATGAAACTTCTGACGCTTTTGAAAATGGGGGTTAAGAAAATTACTGTCTACACAAACTCCTCTGCATAACCAGCCATTTCTAGATGCTTCTTCATAAATACTGTCTGCATAAAACTCTGTCTTCCAAGAATCTGAAAGCAGGTTTGTTACTTTCACAGTAAAATACTATTAAACATCATCAAGGACTGAAACAACACAATTTTCAGTTTGTGCTGTTTACAAGTTTGTCTCCATGAATAGTCACCTGCCGTTACTACAGTCTTCCTCTGCTGCATTTCTCCATTTTTCTCCTGTCATTTATAATGTTGATCCTAGGCTTTAATCTTCATTTGCAATGATCCAAACAGGCTCAGTTACATCCTTAAAAGAAACATTTGGGAATTCACAGACATAAACGAGCATAGTAGAAAGCATGCAAAACAAAAACAATTTGTGTCAGGTAGCTTGAAATTCAGAGAGACGTACATATCTAACTTACATGTTTTAACCATTATCACAGAAACTAGGGGCACAAGGTCAAGGTATAGACCGTATAGCTTCTGACACTGCTCTGATGTTTTCAAGGAACACTAATGAAAAAAAAAAACCCGCAACACATACAATGATAC